CAATCAATCTTCCAATATTAGCTACTGAAGTCCGAATAGCTCGATGAAAAATTCTAACACCTAAAATAAAAATAAAAAATAAATCAACAATTCACTGTGCATTTACAGTTAACCCTCCATTACAAATCTCGTAAGTACAGCATAGAATGTTGATAAAGCATAATAATGTGAAAAATGTATCTGTAATCTCTATCTACAATTCAGTCTCTACAGGGTAACACCACAATGAGATCTTGCACCACCTCAAAATCTTCCTAGGGCAGCCTCTGGTTCGGCCTGTAGAAAAAGTTTTCTTTCCAATTCGGCCCGGAGGCAAAAACTGTTGGCCACCCCTGAACTAGGCTGTATTATCCCACAAAGCCATGTGGAAAAAATGTCTGTCCTCTTGGGTGTTACTGACCAGGGCTGCTGAGATATCACCTGGCATTCTGTATGGCCCTCCCAGACCCATCAATTCCACATTCTCGTGACAGTTGTGGGATAATGACCAACATGAGCAGCAATAGAATGAACAATAAACTGCAGTTTTCATAGGCTACGCTTCTACTACAATTAAACTCTGACACACAGTGGTAGGCATTCCTCCTTACACAAGGCATAACAAAACCTTTAAACAGCAACCAATGTGTGAATGCAATTTCTATATGAGAAACCAGCTTACAATCTTCCCTTTTATACAGACTGCTGGTGGCCTTACTCCTACCTGCTTTGTGAGCATGCGTTGAAATGCTAATCATTTGCATATTCCAGCATGTTGAACATTTCATGCAAATTTTGTGTTTGTTTCGTGCTGCCTTCATGGTGTAGCAATTTTAATGGCCAGCAGTGTTACCATACCGGGTTAAGCGATAACTGGCTGAGTGTCATAGTGGAGGTGTACTTAGGCTGTGGGCATAGGAGTCGTCCCCATCCGGTTCCGTGAGTAACTGTGCATGGTTATATTTAAAGTTTAACTACATCTGGAAGCAAAGAATTGCTTGGAGGTCTGGGTGGCTTAACTGGCAAGCACACCGCACGGTAGGCAGAAGTTGCAGGTTTAAGTCCTGCTCCAGGCTAGTTCTTTTATTCCAGACGGTTCTAAATTATTTAATAAATTATTAAACATTATAATTATTAATAATAGCAAATTTATATTCTGATTAATTATGGTGATTGCTTGGTTGAGTATCAACCTATTGGGCTTTGGCACGTTTATTATAGATAGTAAGAATATTATGCCACTGATCAGAAGATTATTTTTACTTTTAAGGCCTACTACATAAAATGTATATTATAAAAATTTTGCACAAATTGTTTGCATGCAAGTAGCATCCCAGTAGTCCTCTTGTATACTTATAAGTGGACTATTGGGATGGGTTCCCTCCAATTTTGCCAAGCTTAATATATATCATAATACTATCCCAGTAAACTATGGCAAAGGCACACAATGCAACTCTCAAGCATTTGCAAGAAAAATTAGTTTAGAGTTTTCCATATTCTTTATGTATTGTGTTGTATTGACAGTGTCAATAGCATCAAAACCAAGTGAGAAAGTGCTTGACTATCACCCTGAAGTTACAGATTCAAATATTACTTTTATCAAATTTTTTTTTTCTGATCTACAATATAATGGATTATTGCACAACATATTTTATACTTTTTAATAAATAATCTCTCTTAGCATGCTCATGTTGCTATGTAAGTCAAGACAGAAACTTTTAGCAATGGATGTCAAATACATAGAATGCAATAAAATGTGTAGAATAAAGTTCATGACAAAAAATGAAAAATAATTGAATTTTTTACTGTTTAGCAAATAAATATTATAATTACAAAATACTAATTCTTCTTTACTAACAATAAAAAAATACACTGCACAATAATCTGATTCCATGTAGGTTAGAAAAAACTAATAATAATAAGATTCAAACCTGTAACTTGCAGCATAATGATTAAGCACATTACCCACTGCTGACAATTGTCAATACATGGCAAACATGGAAAACAGAAAACTTTAAACTAATTTTTTTCAAGAATGCTTGAGAGTTGCTTCAAGTGGCTTTTATCACATAGTAATGGGAGAGTACTATGATAGAGATAAAACTCAGCAAAATTAGAGGAAACCATCTCTGGTAGTCCTCCTTGTTAGTATCATCAAAGTTTTTGAAAAAATTTACAATTTTAAATTTTATGTAAATAATACAATTAGCAACTCATTTAACATTTAAATGTCTGTTAGCACTTTGTAAAAACGATATGAACAGTAGTAGTTTTGAGTGGTAATGATATTCCATCAACAGAGGTGCAATATCCAAAATTTGAAAAAATTGCATATTAACTAGGATATGAATTTTGTGATTTGAGTCCTTTTAAAATGGAGAATTTGTTAAATTTTCTGTCCATTCCAAAGATAAATTCATAGACATGACTGAAAATCCAACTTCAATACTTGGTATCAACAGAATAAATAAAGGATTTGAAATGACTTAAGATCTTGAAAATTATTTTCTGGAATTATGATACAAATTTTAAGGATTGATTCATATTTGGAAGAGATTTATAGAACTATTTAGTTTTATAAATCTCTATAAATAAGAAAAATTTCTGATAGTTTCAGAATTCAAAAGAAAACTTGAGATCAAGATAATTGGCAGCAATAGTACTTTCTTCCTTGGATAGAAGATTATCCCTCTATTAACAAGCAGAAAAGGTATGGAATGAACTGTTAGTTTCACAGGTCTTGTAGGTCAGATACTTGTACATCTTTTTGTGCTCCATATTTTACATTAACATAATAAAATTCAAAACTTTTCATTCTCTAAGAAAATATCATGGATTCCTATACATACATACCTGTAATTGCCAACATGGGGTCACCATATTTTTGCTATTCTTTTGACTGCATTGTCTATCATTTTCTGTATTATTTTGGCAATTACAATTTTCGCCATTTATGGAATTGCACATATCTCCATGGCCATGACATTCACAACTATAAATGTAATATAAGAAAAATAATTAAATTTTTAACATTTCTAAAAAAATACTATTCCACTTCAAACAACAATTAAGAAATAAATCATTTCAAATAGGCATAACTTACGGTCTACAACCCTCTTTTATATTATCTCCAATTTTAAAAAATCCAGAAATACATTGATCACATCTATTATTTTCAGTATTATTTTGACAATTTATACAAATTGCATCATCCTTGGGTCCTTCTTTTACTAATTCTAAGTATTCAGACATCTAAAAATAATGTAAAATAACAAATATTGTATAATAAAAATTGATATTATAAAATCACAATCTCCAAAATATATTATTATAATAATCTTTCTTTTATATCATAACTCACAAGATATTGATCCCAGTGATTGCTGAGTGAACTCAGCAGAGAGGAATTTAGGAAATCTGAGCTAAAGCATAAATCACTGTGTCCATTACAATATACTTTACAAGGAATGCACTTTCCACCATTTGTGGGATTTCCAACAAAAAATGGTTTGCATTTTTGACATTGTGATCCCTAAAATGGATTAGATTAGTGAACTTAAATAAATTTCTTTAAATATATAATAAACAAAACTTATATATACCTGTGTATTATTATGGCATTTTAAACAATCATTAAGACGATCAGGACCTGCACAATTACTATGTCCATTACAATCACATTGTATTGAACAATTATGTCCAACATAACCAAAATGACATTTACATTTATTTGGTTCTACACAAGTTCCAAACATACATCCCTGATTACATACTGGTTTACATTGTTTGCTATAAAATAATTTATTTAGAGTCACATAAATAACAACATATATTTTACATATTTAAAAGTTCTCACCCATCATTTACATATCCTTGTTTGCATTTACATTCAAATTTTTCTTCTGTATCAACACATTCTTGATGCTGTTTGTCATCACAGTTATGATGACCATTAAGACATTCATTTTCTGGTGGTTGTTTAAGATATGCCCAATAAACTGGACCATCAGATTGATTTAACCATCTGGTGACATTTTCTACATTATCAACATTAACATAGTTGTATTCATGGTTATATTCATAAAAAATAAACTTGTTAGAATACAGAAAACAAGTATAAATACAGGATACTTACCAGGAAGTGGATGATCAATTAAATATACATGATTTTCATAACATTTTCCATCCGTTGGATGTTTTATCCAACCTTCCATACAGATGCCTCGACCATTGACTTTCTTGCCCGAGAAAGCACACCATCCACAGTTAGGATATGACAAGCAGTGAGCTGCTTGGCTATGGTGCCAGCAGGGTACGGGACAATAGGAACTGGAACCTTGTAATACAGCTCCACAAGCCCCTCCTTCACATTGTAGTAATTCAAAACTTGGAGAAATGCACTATAATATTTTATTTTACAGTTAAACTAATTTGATGTTATGATATTTTAAAATCATTAAATTTTTCATTATTACTTGTTGTAATCCTTCGCTCCATCTGCACTCGTGCCAACCTCCTTCTCCACCAGCACTTTGTAAACAAGTACTGCAATTTCTATGCTGACTGCATCGAGGAGGACAAGTTAATGGAGGCATCGATTCTACGGGAAATGAAGATGCACCTTGGATTGTTTTTCCCACACAAGTCCAATTAAATATTGGTTTATCTTTTAAAGTATGCTTCCATTCACCACCTAAAATTATTACTAATGTCAACTAATGATTTACTTAAAACCAAAAAAAAATTTTTTACCTGATCTTTCAACTTGGCGTGTCCATGTACAGTTTGGCAGACTTCCACATTTTTCACAGTCTGATGCTAAGCATTCTCTTATTGGACAAAATGACGACTGATTTATGGCACGCTGTGAAATTTTGCAATCATTTTCTACTTCACAGGAAGCTGAAGCTGGAATGCATATTCCTCTTTGACAATTTGAACACCACTTGCATAACTAGGAAAACATATATTTAATTTAATAACTTTTAATAATTTTGTATTATTGTATCTTATGTAAATTAAGATACAATATAATATTACTTTTGACATTACAACAACATATTTAAGCAAATAGTTTCATTATATTATTAATTTATTTTTGGAATATATTAAAAGTTTTCTCTATAAATCTGGCTTTTCCAATTTAAGCATTCTAATTTTTATGCTATGCAATGTGAGAAAAATATGCCAATATTGTTTTAAGAGTTTTTATTTCTAAATACCTGTTTAGCATTTGGAAAGAATGGCCAAACTGCAACACAATCCATACACGTTTTGTATTGATAGCAATCTCGTCTTTCCATCCATTCTAAATTACAGTCTGTATCTGTAATAATGTTTAGTCGTCCTTTTGGATTATCACAACTGTAAAATAATAAACAATTTTAATTTTTATGAATTGTAATTTAAATTTTGAATGACAAATGCTTTGTACTTGTAAGGAATGCTTCCATATTCAGAATAGCAAAATGTACGGCTCACATTATTTTCCATCACGGAACAATATGAACAGCCTGTGTAACGAATGCACTCTGACTGTTTCTTTGAAAACAAATGACAAATGTCATCCGGTAAAGTTAATTTTGTCAAACGGTCACTTGTTTCTCCATTGAAACCTCCAAAAATATAAAAGCTTCTTGAAAATGACGTAGCTGAAAGTCCAGATACTGGCGGCAATGGTTCTCCCACAACAGAAACATCTGATTGATTTATAAATTTTAATAATTTCAATTTCAATATGTTTCATATGAAATTTAAATCTATCATATAAAAACAGACATACTTTCTTTTTCTAAGCAGATCCATAAATTACATTTGAATATATAAACGTAAGTTTCGCCCACTAATTCAAACTTTTCATTTCGACCACCAAGGATAAGCATGTAATCGTCTGTTAAAACAGCAGCATGAAGACTACGTGGAGGAGGCTACAGTGATATAAAAATGTTAAAATTTACATGTTAAAATTAAGTTTAAAAACTTAATAAAATGAATTAAAATATTACATTGGAATCAGGTTGGTTAGGTGGTAATTTTGACCATCTGCCAGTTGGATAATGAAGTGTATACAAATCACCGGAGATTGTAGCACCTTTAACATTATATATTATTCCCCCAAAAACAAATATTGATTTAGTTTGTGAATGATACACACTAGAGTGTCCATATATTCCTAGAATACAAAATAATATTTATTAAATTTTTAAAATAGTTTATTATAGAAGACTTTAATGTTTTATTTCTAGTTAAATGACAATATATTATGCAAAACATAATTTTAGCCACTTGAACAATGGAACAAATAAACTTTCAGCAAACAGACTGAGTTCAATTACGAGGTGCATGCCAAAAATACGTACTGTTTAGCCATAACTTTTAAACCAGTAAGTTATGAAGAAAACTTTTGATGTCACTTTTTAACACAATCCCATCTTTGTCAAGACACCCTTGGCATCTCTAACCACTCATCAAAGCACTGTGAGAACTTGCTTTCTGGACTTGAAAGCACTGAAAAACTGCACTAACAAGAGCAGATCTTGACAAATAATGCATACCATGGAGTGAATCTTTCAGGTTTGCAAATACTCAGACATCACTAGGAGCCAGATCTGGTGAGTATGCAGGATGTGGCAAGTTTTCAATGATCTTTTCTATCAGAAAATCTCAGATGATTTGAGCTCTGAACAGCAGAGCTTTGTTCCTGTGCAAGACAAAATTTTGTGCTGGGTAATTTGGGATGCCATTCACAAATCACAGGTAGATAATGTTTGTTCAGCATAAATTTTGCATACCGACCAGTAATTGTGTCACAGTTTTCAGAAGTTGCAACAGCAAAGTGATTAGAGCATGACTCATCTTTGGCAGAGTACAAATACATCACACTAATCTTGTATAGCTTTGCAGTTAATTTTTGAAATATAACACTAATATTTTTGATACACTCTAGGATCTTCTTCAGATGCTCTATAAAAATTTTTCTGGTTGATCCAAGTTTGATTTAACTTCTGATTTTAAATGTTCTAGTTTCAAATGTTTCTATCTTCAAATTTATTTTTTTAAATTTTCAAAAGATGTGCACTTGCACTGACCATTACAGCACCGGGCCATACATAGCTTGCCATGCTCTCGAGAGTTGTTTTTCATCTTTAAATTTGAAATTGGGGCTTATACTAATGCAAAAGTAGCCTACAGATGTAAGCCGGATACATTCAGCATGCTAAGAAGTGAGAAGGATCAGGCAGAAATTGAAAGAACATTGGGAGTATATAAAATTCCGCTAAGATATAACAGATTCAATAGAGACCTCATATATATCAGATCCACAAAAATATTATGCAAACAATGCCTCCATGAACACAAAACATATATTGAAAAGAGGAAAAACACTACCACCTTAGCTGTATATACCAGTGAAAATGGCATTACACCTGAACTACAACAAGCGACAATGATCTGGCAAACTCGGCATATAAACCAACTACGGAATCTGGAGGCATTAGAAATTTTTAAAGTGGACTGCAAAGGCCTGTCAATCAATTTTAAAGATGAAAATCAACTCTCAAGAGCATAGCAGGCTATATATGACCCGGCACTAAAACGGTCTGTGTAAGCGCATAACTTTTGAAAATTTTAAAAAATAAATTTGAAGATAGAAACATTTGTAACTGGAAAATTTAAAATTGGAAGCTAAATTGAACTCGGATCACACCAGAAAAATTTTTATATAACATTTGAAGAAGGTCTAGGGAGGATCAAAAACATTAGTGTTATGTTTCAAAAATTAACTGCAAAACTATACAAGGTTAGTGTAACATATTTGTATTTATTATTGCTTTGTTTATTGGGTGGATTTTGACAGAGTTTCTTCTACCTGCAAATTTTCAAACTCGCTTGTGAACTGTACAGTCAGCAGGAGCAGATGTCCATTAACTGCTTGTGAACATCAGCCACTTTTTTACCACAAGCAAACAAAAATTTGATGACAACACACTAAACTGAACTGAAAACACCATGCTTTTGGGCACACTTAGAAAGAAGTTTGCAAAAAAACATGAATTACTCAGCACCTGCTAATGCACTCACTAAGGGAAGATAATACATAATTCTGGAATGCACCTCTAATGTTAAAAAATATAAGAATTAAGTATTAACACTAACATATTCATATTGATTTATGTTTTATAATTATAAGAACAATAATAATTAATAATTTCTTTTTATCATCTTTCATTGACTTATTAATTTTACATAACAATATCAAATCTTACATTTTTACTTTGAAATTTAATTCAAAATCAAAAACAATATTATGCAAAACCTTTATTATTATGTCAACTATCAATTCAATAAAAATTTATAATATGAGACTTGCATTATGTATCATTTTTACTTTTTTAACTGTTATATATACATAACAAGGAAAAGTAATGGAATCGTGTCAAATTTGATCCTCAGTTTTTTGAAAATCTCTGCATTTTGAGATTCCTGAATCCAAAAACAGAAAAAAACTTTCATGAATATGTGTATGTGTATGTTGGTATCTATTTTGTTTAATATCTCAGGATGGAGTGAAGACTAGAAAATTAAATTTGCATGGTAGCTTGTGTATAATGGGCATTCATGCTATTAAATTTTGGTGATGAAAAATCAAGGGGGGGGAGATAGAGGGTGGTCACATGTCATATCTTGTGTGGGGGTTGAGCTTAATGAAGATTTTACTTGTTGTTAGCATTTACAGATCTTTTTAAAACTCATCTCTATTCTCAAAATTAAGTCATCTATATATTTTCAATTATTATAAAATAACAAAGTTTTTATAACAAAATCTCATAATAGATGGTGCCACATATAATTTTATTTATTTGCTAGATTTTTCAAATTCTTAAAGTTATTAAATGAAATAATGTAATATTAAATTAGAATTGAAAAATTTAGCAATTACAAGACTTGTTTGTGTAACTTGGTAAATATTAAATTTAAATATTTTAAATTTTCACTAAATCACACAGTATATCAATGGTATGTAAACTATGATCTGAGACCCTGAAAGGATAATGATAAAAAATTAAAGGTAAAAATAGAAAAAAGTAAACTAACCAAGCCTCACACTAAATATTACTAAATATAAATAATTAGGATAATACCAAATTTCTATGTAAAAAAAGGCCACATTTGCAAACACTGCACTTTAATACAAAATGCAAATGTACTGTACACATGCATTTAGTACAGTGTTTCTCAACCTCTAACGAATCATCGCCCCCTTCAATAAAACCATTACGTAGTATTGCCACCTTCACTACAAAATTCCAATGCCAAGGGACAAGGCTAACTCCAAATTCTTACTGCATCGAATAGACTAGTGACTATATAATGTTATTTGTTTAATTGTTGTACGATATAACGAATAACATCTAATTATTCTTAATATAATGTTTTACTATATCACCCAGAAAATTGTTTTTTTGCCCCCCCAAAATACAAATTGTTACTAATCATCCCCTGAACATGGAAAAACGCCCACATGGGGGTGATATTGCTGCCGTTGAGAAACACTGATTTAGTATATACTGTACAATACATGATCATTATTAAGCAAATGTAATTTATAACATAAAATGGATACAAAGCTATGTTTTCAATGCTTTTTTCTACAAGCAATTTACTTGAGAAAGTAAACTGCTTCCTAGAAATCATTTATAGTATATTTCTAATCCCCAAAAACATACCTGTAAATCTTACAGATACAGAAACTACCATCAAGCATGTGTAGATCAATCATTTTATCTTACATGTACAGTACATGAAACACATTTTAGTACAATTAGGTATGAAACCTTCATTCAATGTCTGAGTTTTACATTCATAATTATTTTGCTATAGAAGTTTGAGATATTGGAAAAGTCAAATAATCATTCCAAAGTGGAAAGTTGTAATTGTGATGTCAATAAATATTTCATTATACAGTAAGACCTTGTTTACCACTTAGGATACATTCCTAGACAAAAAAGCACAAAATAAAACAGTGTTAAGCAAGGTCATTTTAACACAGTAAATAGGAAAAGGAGAACACACCACCAAAAATAAACAAATTTTACTTTAATTTTAAGTTATTTTTATATTAATTTGCATTATAATATATGTTACATAACACAAACATATGCACAGAGAAATATAAAGTTCATTATTAAGATGAAGGTTCTGGTTCTTCTGAAATTCTTGACTTTTTTGCAATGAACTTGTCTAGTGTCATTTGTCACTGTAATTTTTTTCTGCTTTAAGCAAATGTCAGTAGCCGGAAATTGCATCCAAAATGCCTTGTCTTGTTTTTGCACGCCTTTCAAAATCTGGATCATTCATTACAATTTGATCAACGATTTTGGTTATCGTTACCATACTTTTAGTAAGGAAATCTGTAGCAAGTTCTTTGGGTTCTTGGTTTTCAGAATCACTATTTTCCAGTTCTACATGAATTCCTTTGTTCTGCCTGTTCTCAAAGGTTGTTTAAGACTCTCATCAGAAACCTCAAGTAACTCCTTAATATCTTGCTCATCTACATCACCTAGTCCTGTTGTATCGATTAAGTTGACAATTTGGTCAACGATAGGCTCTTCTCCTGAGAATCCTTGGATACCTCTGGCCATATCTTCTTCCATACTCCGTTCATGCATTTATCAGTTAATTCTTGTCAAGCAAAGTCAACATTGCCTATGACATCCATAATGTTATATTTTTTCCAAAATTGCACAAAACATAGACTTAGGGAAAGTACAGTGCTACGGCAAATTGCCACCTTTTACTGATTGATTCATGTTCAGGAATAATCATATTATATATGAATCAATGAAATTTCGCAATAATTTGAATCAATGTAAATTTTGACCATTTTTTTAAGCCTTTGAGCAGACAGCATTATATTGAATCAGCGTTAATTGAGGAAGCACTAAACCGGGTCTTACTGTATACAGTTTTAATTTTGGTGTCTAATGTCATTTTTAAAGTTTACAATGCATACTTTACAGATTTATTTTATTACTAATTATTTCAGTTTNAAAAGCATTTTTTTAATTATTTAAATTTTTTATATAGTTTTTCTATAAAAACACATTTTTGGGGGTATTTATTTCATGGCAATTTTTTGGCTGTCAGATTTGCTTTTAAGTGGAAATAATTATTTAATATAAAAAATTAATAGATTAAAAATTTTCCAAGCAGAAATTGATTACACCTCAGGAACTAAAGTCGTTAAGATAAAATGGTAATAAATTGAAAATGACTGATCTACTCATAAATTTGGCAGTTTCTGTACCTGTAAAGTTTACAGCTATATTTTTGAAGATATCACTAATTTTGTTTTTTTCATTTTGTGTGCTTTATAAAGAGTTACATTAGTTCACTCATCTACAATGTATTTATCTGTGGAAGGCTTTAAGATAAAAAATGTTGCATATAGATTCTCCATAATGGAGAAATAAACAGAAAGTTATATTTAAAGAATTATTTTAAAATTACTTTCCAGTTATTATTTGGAGCAAGTGGAAAGGGTTTAACTTTTCAAACATTATCAATGGCATCTGTGGAAAATGTTCTAATTTAGAAGAATTAAATGCATTCTCATTTGTTGAAAATATTTATCTATGTTCATAATGATTCTGTATATACAGTGGGTGATCGGTTAACGAACAAATCGGATAACGAACACTTTCGCGAAAGATTTTTATGATCGGACAACGAACACATGATCGGATAACGAACACTTCACTGAACAGACATAAAAAGAAGCGACGGAAATAGCAAATACTGACTGATTTTCCTTTGTTTTCAGGTAACTTTTTGGAGCGCGGGAGACCTCAACGTCGACACTCAACCTGATAATATGCTGATTAGATAGTATCCCTCAAACTTTGAAATACTCCCTTGTAATTCCAACCTTTTATTTTTCTGACAAACAATTCTTTTATAGTATTCG